AATTATATTTTATTCCCTAAAAAAAACTGCTCATATGACATAAGAATACATACATACTAGAGAAAATATTCTAGTGTTGCATATGAAAGAGTAATTAAATAATTAATTTTCAGTTGAAATGATATATATAAACACCAAGATGATTCTTATGCTAGAGTAGATGAGCATTAAAAATTTAAACAGTGTATACAACATAAGTTAAGTATATCATTTGGCCTCTACTTTTCTAGGGTGTAGCATTCTTTAATTATATGTTAGACTATAGTAATGGTAAACAGACAATATTCAAATTTACTTAAAGCACAAAAATTCTGATGTTCCCTTAAACATCTTGAAATATTCACACAACTAAAAGTATAAAAGACCTGTGATTATGATGTATATAACTTTGGAAATGGTGACTCAAATGTCTATATATATATCCTAGAAGAAAGATAGAAACCTCAAACGTACGAACCATATTGTTGAATGTTATATAAAGCCAGTGTTTAACCTAGAAAAGGAAATTGCATAAAACTCTTATCCTAAAAAACAACAGATTTCTGAAAATGAAAAAAAAAGTGTGTGAAAGCAACATTTGTGTGTTAAAAAATAGAGTTTCAGCACAAGAACTAAGAAATGGCTCTCTACTTATTCTTAGTAGCTGTTAGAAGTGTTGTTTAGAGTCTTACAAGCAATGTACACCTTCAAAACCATTGTTGGAGAAAATAATGGATGCTGTTGGTCAAGAAAGCTGATCACTTATGCATGGAAGCATATTATGCTAATACATTAATAAATTGAGAAACATGGATTTATAAGCATAATGTCGGCATGAAGTGGTTTTATTTTGGGAAAAGTACATGTTTTGACAAAACATCAGTCTATTGGTCTTTATCAGTCACTAGCTGATGCAACTAAAAACAAGGCAGAAAATGCATGCATCTTTTAAGGAAGTTTATTGGAGGGAATGACTAACAGATCCCGCATTTGGTCATATATTCAACTCAGTCATAGTGCAGGCATTTTTACAATAAAGGAGTTTCATAGCACTAATGGATGCACAACAAATCTATTCTAAAAAGTCCTCCTATGGTTGTAAAAAGATATCTTTCTAAACTTGAATCAAGTGCATGTAGAAAAAAACGTATTTGAGAAGATAACTAAACAGAAATGTGCCAAGTCAAAAAAGGTACAATCCAGCCTGTGAGAGATTCTAATTATGGTTCATAAACTTAACAACCAGGTATGTGCTAATAAATGTTTAACAGTAGGAAATAAGAATTCAATAAAGAACTAGTTACCTGATAGTGAAAGAGCAAGCCTAGAAGAAAACCTGTTGAGAGATCTGAGTGAAAAGGTGAAGAGCATAAATGTCTCACTGTGTTCAACTTTGGTGCAATTTGTAAGATGAGATCAACCACATCATACAGAACAACAATATAAACATTTGGTAATTTATTTGTAAATTCACTGAATTATAATGAATAATAATTGTGATGGTATAGTCACATGTTATTCAAACACCTAAAGTATTTAAGGTTATAAGTGGTCGGCAAAAGACTATTAATCAAAGCCTAAAAAATGTAAAATGCAGTTACATATGACCTGTTTATTTTTAAAAGCTGCAGAATATGGCCACCATTATGAAGCTATAACAGATATGTTCCCCTTCCAACACAGATCTACAACATTGTTGTTATTATGTGTTTAATGAATAAGGTACGTGCGACGTTTGTCCCTAAAGGTGGTCTAAAATACATTTTATAACAGTCAAATAAAAGTATAGCCAGTCTATTTTCCTGTTCAAGGTAGGCTGTAATGATAGGTGGACAATGTGAGCTAGCATTCTTGTTCACCAAAGTGAAATCACGTTCAATTACACCAACGAAAATGCTGGAAATAGTTTCCAGGATTCTGTCTCTAGTATCTTAAACACCATTTGTAATATATATTATCACAGTTTAGTGTTCCATAATAGAAGATGTATGCCATGCTCAAACTTGGCATAATCAGCTACAATGCAGTCAGTCCTCTCCAGGCAGTCTTCATACACATACACAGCGTGGTCACAAGTAAATAGACATCACCTTTTCAGAAAAAATGAAATTTTACAGTCATATTCACATCAGTTGATATATTTATAATTTAATTAATATCTAGTACATCTTCCTTTCACTTCATGGAGTTCGTTGATCCTTTGGGGCATAGTGAAAATCATCTCATCAATTTTAGATTGTGGGATTTTCGCCCACTCTTGCTTCAAAACTTGGAGTAGATCACTCTTTGAAGTTGTTTTTTTTTTTTGTTTCTTGACTTGCCGGTCGAGTATGGCCAGAGGTTTTCGATGGGGTTCATGTCAGGAGATTGGCTAGGCCAGGGCAACTTCTGGATACCATTTTCTTCCTGCCACTTTTGGGTGTTTCTAGCAGTGTGACACGATGCTCCATCTTCCTAGAGCAACGTTGTGTTCTTGTCCATGAAACCCGAGGAATAAAGTGGCAAGAGTTCTTCCTCCAATATTTCGACGTATTCC